CTCCAAACTTTAATGTGCATTTAATACATGGAGCTGCACTAGAAGTTGTCCAGAGCAAATCTGCTAAATATGACTATTGTAAATTTGGATTTTTGTTACCAGCTGTTCCACTCTACAGATCTGCTCTTGAAAATTGTTTACTTGTTGCTAATTTAGATGTAGCCAGAGTTGTCATTTTCAGAAGTTTAATTTTATTATAACATTCTGAAGCATTCCTGTCAACTAATTATAGAACATTGGTATAGTTGATTCACTGTTTCCCAGTCTGGACTAAATACTTATTGAGAGAGAGGTGTTTTGTTTATTTGTTTATTTATTTGTTTGTTTGTTTGGGGTTTTTAAATTGTTTTTGTTGTTGTTGTTTTGTTTGTTTTTTTGTTTTGTTTTTCTTCTTCCCTGCAGATGAAGATAATTCTTTCCCATAAGATATGGGAAATATGGAAAAACAAAGGTAGCTGAGAAGATTTTCTTACTCTAGACCCCTGCTTTTAAAATGCAGATACTTTCTAGAGTAGGGGGATAGATGCAGTGTCTTGGAAATGAATTCATCAGCTACTGGTATTCTCATGGAAGGCTAATCTTGTGCCCCCTTGCTTTGATGTAGTACTAGCAGGCAGCTAACCTTCAAGATCAGCTGTACAGCAGAGCTACCAGAGAAAACCTTCCCAAAGCATCCTGTAACATTTTGCTGTAGGTGTTAAAGGAAAGACAGTCTGAACCAAAAAGGAAACAAGTAGTTCAGTGAGCACCAGAACAAATTATGCTTAATTTCTTAGCAATTTGTGTCTTGTGCTTGACTGACTGGTAATGTGCAGGTCTCAACTGAAACTTCCCCCCCATAACTAAGAGAAAAAAGAAAGTGGTTTACAAAGGCCATCTCATGTGGCATTTTCTTACAGGCAATATGTCATGAAGCTCATATTGAAGCCTTCCCATGTGAAAAATGGTGATGGATTATTACTGTTATTCCTATTATCCACTGGCGATCTTTTCCCATAAATTAGTGAGTGCTTAATATATTTGAAAATTTCTACTGCTGTCAAATTAAAAGAAAATCCATCTACAGGCTTGGAAGTCATTAGTGAATCATACATATGCATCTAACAGGAACACATGGCCCTTAATTTCTCAGAAGAACAGACTGAAAGATGTAAAGGAGTGAATGACAGTGGCAGCAGCACTGTTGTAGTACTGCTTGAATTCCCTGGTTTTTTACATAGGAAAAGACAAGCTTTTTCATCAGTGCTAGATGTAAGCTTATACAAATTAATACAGTGACTTGTTGGCATTAGAGATTTATTATATTGCTAATTTTCTGTAGCTAATTATATCTGAAATTCTGGTGATTGGTGGGATTTTTGGGGATTTTTTTTTATGTCCAGAGTTTTTTATATTAAATAATGTTAGCATTTTATGTCACTACCCATAGATCTGTCTAAATACTTACCTTTGTTACTCCAAGGAGAAAATAGAATTTTTAGTTCCTTAGTTGAAAAATGACTGAGAGAAGAGTTCAACAGCATTTCCAGTAGTATGACTTATGATTGGTAATGAATGTGCAGGAAAGATGTCCAAGCATAAAATAATATCTGATTTTGTGACAAACAGAGAAGTTTCTTTAGTAGGAAGCAAATTCTGTTTTATTGAAAAGCTTGAAATCAGTTTGTTTGAGAGAAAGCACAGCTGTTGCCTGTGTGTCAGATGAAAATCGAGGACACTGCCTGTTGTGACAAAGGAGAATAATTTGAATGTAAAGAGTTTAACTTTTAATTTAGGGTTCTGGTGATTCAAAATGTGCTATCAAGATTGTCTAATAAACCAGTAATTGCATTAAGAAATGGCTGTGAGGAAAACTCAAAGCAGACAGATCTAGGTTTCCCTGAAAGACTCTGTTAATGTTCTACATTTTCACTACGAATGCCAACATTTGTGTTTAGAACTTGAGTTGAAATAGCATTGAACTCCAGACAAATGGAAATAAAAGTTGAAATGTCAGTAAAATCACTTCTTCCGTAGAAAATGTTATTGTTATATACACTATGTAATCACCAGTTGAATAGTTTGCCTAACTTCTGGCCACCATAGTGATATTTTAATTTTTTTTTAAACATCTACCCTTTATGAAAAGTATTTTCTCTCAAATATGTGATGCATTTATGTCTGTTTTAAATTTTGCACAGCAAATTGTGCAAGAGCAATCTGGTACTTGAAACACTTCATGGAAATAGTGCTGTGTGTTAGTCTTACAGTGTGGTGGTTTTGCTTTGATAAACCAGTATGTGACGCTCAGTTTTAGTGAACTTCCAAAGCAGTCTTTCTTCCAAAACATATTTGTCCTGGGTCAAGAATTTCACGAATTCACATTTACTTTTGATCACAGAATCAGTGGGTCAGGTTGGAAGGGAGCACGGTGGGCCATCCCAGAGCACATGGCGCAGGATTTTGTCTGGAGGGTTTGTAAATACCTCCAGTGAGGGAGGCTCCATGACCTCTCTGGGTTACCTGTCCCAGTGCTCCGTCACCTGCACAGTGAAGTTCTTCTCATGTTCAGGTGGAGCTTCCTGCATATCTGCTTCTGCCTGTTGATCCTTTGGTAAAGAAAAGAGGAACATCCTATGCTTTCTGTTTCCATTTACTTATATTCGTATATTAAGCTAATTGTATTATTAAAAATACCTTTAATTGAAATCTCTTTTGAAGGTGTGTGCATAATCCTCTTGCCCCTGTACAATACTTGAGGCTGGGTTTTTTTGTTCTACCACTTTAAAAAATAAACTGTTGCTGTCCAGGTAAGACAAAGGCAGGGAGGCCTTTTGTGAAGGGCAGCTCCTACTGGTGAGGTAAATGAGACCAAGGGAGCCAAACCTAAGCTAATAAGTTCTAGTAAACTCATTAAGTTTGGTTTCTTGCTGTCATACACCAGAGAATGGCATGTGAAACCAGGAAAGGAAGAGAAGCAAAGCAGGAATGGAGGTAGTTTCAGGGAGCCAGGTAGCAGCAAAAAAGGAAGGAAAGGAAACAGCAGCATATGCAATGAGAAATATTCTGATTAAAATAATAAAGAAAACTTTGACCTATTGATTTTTTAAAGTAGTTGTAATCATGATATATACAATGTGAATTGTTACAGATGAAACTTACAGAGAGGATTTGAGAGGCTAAATGAGCAAAAGCAGATTTATGACTTGTCACTTTTTAAACCCATGAGAAGAGATATTTGCTGCTGTGGTAATACATTATGTTTGGTCTAATCAGAATACAGTAGTATTCTTGTTGTGCCTTTTAGGATTAAGGAAAGTTTTTTGTAAATTACGGGAAACTTGGTGTAATGTTTCTTTCTCTTTGAACTGATAACCATGTTTTGTTCCTGCAGCTGTTATAAAAAGCAACTTAAAACAAAAGGCTGATAACCATGTGCTTTGATGTTCATTAAAATTGGACAATTATTCTCTGTATCAGTAAGGCCTCATAAGTCCTGTTAACATTCCATAAATGAAGGGAATATACTACTGTTTCTTTTCTCTTAGGTAAGAGCAGAACAGTATGAGTTTCACAATATTGTATCATAGTGGAGACAAGATTTTGGTTATAGAATGTGAAATTGTTTCTAATTAATCTCTTCCTCTTTTTCATAAGCTTGTGGTTAGTGTTAAAAAAAACCCCAACAAAACAAAAAAAACTTCCTCAGGTGTAGGGGAAAGGGAGGAAAACAGCAGACCTTAGTGCAACATTTCCTACTTCTCTGTCTCAAGGATTTAGATTTTTGAACTTTTCTTCCCCTCCTATTCTGGAAGATTAAGAAAGTAGCATGTTACATTTTTGTATACAACGGTATTAATCTTAGACAAATATTCAAATTTTCCATGGTTTTAACTTTGTGGGGGATGGATGTGTGGGCAGGATGTAGAAATTTGTTTGAATATAAATGTCTCATGTGTCAGGTGTAGTGTACAAAATGTTTTTTTTCAATGTCACCTGTACCAGATTTGTTGTCAGTTAAATGTGTCAAACCAAAATAGTGGCCATGGTCCTAAAACAGCAACAAATTCTCTATGTGATGATCTCAAAATCTTAATGGTAAAGCAACAATAGGAGTGTTGCACCTGAAATGATGACTTGATCAGGCATAAACTTACGACATCTCAGTAAGATTGTGATCATGTAAATACTTGTAACAAAATACATCAACTCAAAAAGACCCATAAAAAGTCACCAGTTCTAAATGCTGTCAAATGCAGTTTTACCTTTTGTGTGACCTTTCCTCTCAGCCATTCTTACAAAAAGGGTGGCTCTTCCTGCTGTGGAAGAGGCAAGCTGGACCTCTTCCATCATGTGCATCTGTAATGACACTTGTTTGGTATACCATAGAGATGAAACACTACACAGCTCTTGGAGATTTATATAGATATATATCTGTCTCGAGAAATGGCTTATGTAATTGATTTGATAGACAGTGGAAATTAAGGCTTCTAGTTCCAGGTTTAAGCTTTAGAAGATTTTTCTTCTAACAGGCATCTCTTGCTCCAGAAAGAATCATAAAATACAAGACTTGACTTTTTTTTCCATACTACTTTGAATATACAGCATTTCAGTTGCCCAGGCTAGGAAGCCTTATTCCTCTCTCCAGTGTTGCTAGAAATCTTGTTCATCTTTCTAAGCCTTAGGACGTTTAACAGGAAGTGAGATATTGAACCTATGAACCTGTTAAAATAGCCAAAAATGTTCAGTCTTCCAAAAAGGTAAGCTAGAGGGATGAGGCAGTTTAGCAGCTGACTCGGTGCTTTTTTCATGACACTGTCCCCAGCAGCAGCTGTCTTAGACCTTTTGGGGTTTTGCCCCCAGGTTTGAGCTGCATGTGAGGAAGATGCTTGAAGCCAGGTGTTATTATCAGTCATCTTTTTTGGGGTACTATTCAGCTCTGCTACCATCTGCAGTAACATTTGTCCTGAAATGACACTGCAGTGTGTGTATTTATGTAATGTTGTTTGTTTGTTTTTCAGACACAGGATGAACCCACTGATACAAGATACAACTAGCTAAGCAGCTATAAAATGCCCAAATTTGGGTCTACAAAAACAATTCAAGTTGAAAATTCTGACAGCAATAGCACCATGGTGGAAAAAACAACTGCAAGAAAGGTAAAATTTATATTAATGCCCATTTAATTTCAGTACAATTAAGCATGTTTAATGATTTTTGTTGCTGTAATTGGAAGAAATATTCTGATACCTTCAGTATTGAAAAAGTTATACATTTTTACATTTATTTAACTGTTAGATAAACTGTGGGACAGAATTTGACTTTTATTGTAATGTGCAAGCTAATTTAAAAGGAGCTGGATGCTTTGGTTTTATCTGATATAAGTTAGTATATAGTCTCCATATCTTAGCTAATTTGAAGTCTTCATATACTCACAAGAACAACAACCCATATTTTATTTTATTTTATTGTGTATTACTCTCTGTAACAAACACACAAAACAGGTGTGAAGGCCTGTGACAGAACACAGACCAAAGAAAAACAGCAGTTTCCAATATCGCTTTATAACAGAAGGACTTACTCCCTCGGTGAGGGAGCACTTAAAAGCCGAATGCTGCACAAAGCTTTAGAGTAGCTCCTGTACAAGGGAGTCCCATCTAAAAATTGTACAGTCCATTTCTGAGTGTTGAAAAATGAAGGAATGTCATGTCATGATGAAGGGTGGTTTGTTGTTTATAAATGTGAAGTGTCCTCTGATTTTCAGAGTTCTGGAGGCAAGTTTCAAATCATCCAGCTCTTCAGTTTGTCTGCCTAGTACACTTGTACAATAGACCACGCATTTATCTGTGCTACTAATGAGCAACAGAAGCTGGAGTAATCCTCTGCATTGACAATGATGAGTGACATGTATATTGCCCTAAGGAGAGAGCATCTGTTTGTTTCCCAACAATCTATAAAAGTGTCTTCTCTAGAAAAGGATTTTTTGTGTGTGTGGTCATACTTACTCATGTGTCGAAATCTGTATTCTCTGCAAGACCATTTGATAATGAATGGATATAAGACAGGAGGAGGTTAAAAAACAGGAAAAGATTAGAAGAGTCAGCATCTACTTGTAACTTTTTATCTTCCAAAAACATTCATAGAAACCTTTAGACCTTTCAGTCTCTTCCTAGTGTATTTCATTGGTCCCAGTAAAGTGAGGCAAAGGTAATTCTTTCTGCTCACTCTGATGAACTACTTAGATAAGAAGAGGAAGATAACAGAATAAAATGGGGAAAGGAAATCAGCTTACTTGTAAAGGGATGAAATAATGTTGGGTTTTCTTTTTTTTTTTTTTTCCTATTTATTCTGGTCTTTATTTGGGATATGGTCAAGTTAATTGAAGTGTCATTCAGTAATTTAGGGAAAGAGTAGGGAATGGAAGTTTGACAAAGGCTGTGAATATGGAATCCCAGTGATGGACTGATAAAGTTGATACCAAAAAGTAAGCTGATAAACTGCTTGCACTGTTCTATCCAGTGTTGCTCACTGTCCCCCTGGTACAGTGCACTTCTAAATCATTAGAAGTATGAAAAATGTTAGGGATTCATTAGCTAATGTAATTGATGTTAGGAAGTGCTAAGACCTGGTGTGAAATAATGTTCATTACAAACAGTGCCTCTTACAAGTGACAAGTAATGCTAAAGGATATTAGTCCATAAAAAAATCCTTATTCTTCACAAAATAAAAACTGTAGGGACCTAAATGGCATAAGTCTATTCCAATGGTTAGCATAAGATAAAAGAACAAATACTTACAGGGTTTTGTTTCCATTTCATAGTTTTTACACTGTTTAGCTGGTTCTAATTGTGCACTCTTAGCTGTTGACAGAGAAATGTAGAGAACTTAACTGTTGTTATTATTAGACATAATCTTTCATATTTGTCCAGAAATTAATGCTTACTGTGCAGCCCTAACAACCAGTGAATAGCTGTGTGGATCAAGTATGTGTTCAGGTCTTCTGAGAGCTCAAAAAAACCCATTAGAAATAACATTGTTCACTCAGCTGTTAATAAGCTGAGTTTATATAATGTATACATTATTTCTTTAGGGTAAATGTATTTTTATTTCAGTTGCTTATCTGGCAAGCATAAAAAATAGTACACATGTGTACGACACCTAGACCATCTAGTGTTTGCATGAGATATTTTGTTAACATATGAACATGATGAAATTTTAATTTATCTGAATTTATACTTCATGAACAAACTCAGGAAGTGAACTATGGAGATCTCTTCCAAAGGAGAAGCACATTTGGAGTTTGCAAGAATTAATTCTCTCCTTGGAAGACTCCAACAATAGTGCCCAAAACCATTTAGTACCGTACAGAATATGCTTCAGTATGTAATTATCTTTGATAGGCAGAAAAAGAATGCTTGTTCTCCTAGGGCTTAGTACATCTGCTAGATTATATGGCTCTCTGTTGTCTCCTTTTATGTCTTGTCATTGATTGTAGCAGTACCAGACAATAGAGCTGGAATGGGATATCAAGAAATTGTCCAGACTGCTGTTTGTTAGCCTTCTGAGACAGTTCCTGTTGAACAGATTAAAAATGTGTTCCTCATCATAGCACACTAGTATGGTTTTGTTGACAGAGAAAATTGTTCCTTGTTACTACATCCTCCAGTGAGGCATGCATTAAATGTTGAGACATGCAGACCCAGTTCATCCATTTGCCCCAGAGTAGAATAAGCTATACTCAGTTCCTGACAGATGTTTGCCAGACCTTTTCTTTAAAGGCTTGCCTGATGGAAATTCCTGTCTCCTTGGGCAGTTTATTCTGGTACTTAATTATGCTGACTGGCATAGAGTTAGATACTTAGTAGAAGGATAAATAACCTTTGCTAGTCTTCTGTTGCAGTTTAAAGCCATTAAATGTTCTCTAGCTGTAGTGGACATGTAAAGTATGTAATGCTTTTCACTTTGCAGCAGTAGTTTAGTTTTCTGAACATCAACATGTCTTCAGTGTTTTATCTGATTAGCAGTTTTCACTTGAGATTAATTAACCTCTTTAGAAAGTCCACAGGATTTACGGATTATTTTATAAAAAATATCAAGTTCATTTTAGGTTGCTTATATGGGTCACATTAAAGTAAAGCAACAGACCTGCTGATGCTGAGTTTTGAACCTGGCCTTGGACTTTGAGAAAGAGATGTCCATGCTGTTGCAGTGACCAGGTAGAATTGGAACAGTGAATGCTCACTGTTGAAAATGGAATGCCTGGTCTAACTTGTAGGGTTTCTACTTCCTCTTCCTACTTCTACTTTCTCTACTCCCTTTACTGGAAGTTGAATCCAGGGTGCCATTAAGAGTTTTCTATCTTCTAACACAGCATTTTGTGATGGTACAGTTAATTATTTTTATCAGTTTGTAGGACCTTGGTTTTATCCTGGCTTTTCCTGTTTTGTTTTGTCTTAAGACTGCTTTGCAAATCAGTCATTTTACATTCACCTTGCCAGGGCTCTTTACTTCTCCCTCTCTTTCAGTTGTGTCTGCACAACTGATTGTATCTCTTATTTCAGCATTGTCAACAAAAATAATAAATAACATCAACTTTGTACAGACTTCTTAAACACCCTGCTCTTTGGATTGGAAAGTCCACCACTGAGTGCTGAACACTTATTTCCACATTACCTAAGGAACAAAATAGTCTCCTTTTTTTTCAGTTTCTGTGTATTCTATGTAAAGCCCTTTTTAAAATTTTCAGTGTGTTTTTATTTATCTGAAAGTATGCATTTTGAACTGTCTCCTCCTAATTAGACTATCACAAAATTAATTTTCAGTCATTATTAAAAAAACTCGTGCATCAGTCATAATATTTAACATAATACATATAAGCAATTTAAGAATTAATGTAAAGCTAGCAAATTACTTAAGTAGTTTGTGCCTCTTTGTGAGCACCTACTGGTGTATTTTACTGAGAAGTGCCCCCAAAAAAGGAATTGTTTTTAGAGATCACCAGCTGCAAAAAGTTGTGGGGTTAGTTTTTTTTCTACTGAACAAGTTGAAACCAAGATTTTCTGCCTAGGGCTTCCAAATTATTTTTAGTTCATGCTTTCTATTGCATAGTATATAATATTCTAGAAAAAGAAATAGAATTTTGATGCCACTTCATATTGTGGAAATTCCCATACATATATAGGAGAAATAATTGGTTTGTTTGAAACAAGGAATGAGAAAGCTCTTGGTGAGGTTGGGCTCAAATGGGAAACTTGTGTGTGTGGTGGAAGAGATGGGGAAAGACTTAATGGAGTCTGGATCTGCTCTTGCCAACTTAGAGATGCATTTGGAAATGATGGCTTGTGGTAGATGGATTAACTTCTTTCATAACTAATACCACAGGCACTGTATGTTCCAAGGGCCCAGGGGAGTTCTAAGGAACTTGGGTTTTTAGATTTTTTTTTTTTTCTTTTTTATTTTTTGTTCTAGCATGTAAAAAAAAAAATAAAATAAAAGGGGGAGGGTGTTGTTTCCTTTGGGGTTTTGAAGGAGAGTTGGCTTTGGTTTTGGTTTGTGGATTTTATTCTGCATTTTACTTTGGTTTTTTGGGTTTCTGAACTTGAAGTGAAGAAGACAGGTGTTCTCTGAGGGCAGCAACCTTTATACCTCAGGAATTCTGTTGGTACAGACTAATGCCTTCTTTATCATTTCTCTTGTAGAGATATTTGTCTTCTGCAGGTTGTAGGGGTTTGTTTTTTGGGTTTTTTTAATCACTTTTTCTAATCACTTCTGCCTAACTTTTTGGCAATATTTTAAACTCAGCATGTCAGATGATATCTACCTTCCCACCTGAGTTTTGTTTCTTTGGAAAAAAAAAGGAAAGGTGCCTTTGAGAACAGTACCTCTACTTTAAGTTATTTTTTAATTTTCCTTCAATCGGAATAAATCTTAAGAAGTACCAAGGACCAGCCTTTTGGTTTTCAGTGATTGGCAGGGTGGTGTATATTCTTCTTCTACCTTTATGAAGTTAATCTATCAGTAATTTCATCTGATCCTGTGTTAAGAATGATATAAAGCTGTAGAGCTGTAATAGCTGACAGAGTGGATAATTGTTTCTGCAGCATGTATTGTACAGAAAAGATGTCTCTGCATTGCAACTTGATTGGTAGCTAAAATGTTGGGTTTGCAGAGGGTTCTGTCAAGCAGTCTTTACACTAACCTAGTATCTTTTGCATTCTTTCCTCCTATATTAGTGAAGTAATCAAGTATAAGTTAATAGTGAGCCTGTTAAGGTTTTTTTCTATTTTTTTGAAATATGGGTTATAAGCCAAAATCTCTAGATTTATACAACTCAAGAATCCAAATATCTTGTACCTTTTTTCTTCTAAGTTTGGTCTCAGTTTAAAACATTTCTTCATAGATTTTTTTCTCAAATTAAACATTGCACTGTTATTGTTGAAACAGAAAGGGAGTTCTCTATTGATGGATCGATCACAGGGTGGGACTGGAGGCAGGGGAGAGTAACTAGAGGGTTTTTTGGGGGTTTACAATTCAGAGTCTGAGTTGCAGTGTGGGCTTTTAATGTGCTTTTAGTGGGATTGTCAGGGAAGGAAATTGGGGTGGACATCAAGACTTAGCAAATTCTTGTTCAGTTTATGTTGTTCCTTTGCTAATTAGTTAAGCCTCTAATCATGAACAGCATTTCTACAGTGATGTGTCTGAAATTAGAAATAACATATAAGCTAGTAATTTAAAAAAGAAATGACAATTGAATCTTTTGTTTATGGAATAAATTTTGTAATATACATACACAAGCACATGCATTCTCACATATCAGTCTTTTCAGTCTGTATATATTATAAGACTATCCTGCTTTGTGCAAAAATTACTTAGTATACTTTTTATTTATATTAGAGCAAGGACAAGATTGCATCCTACAGCAAAACTCCAAAAGTGGATAGGAGTGATGTGGGGAAGGAGATGAAAGAAAAGTCTTCCATGAAACGTAAACTTCCTTTTACTATTAGTCCATCCAGAAATGAAGATCGCAATTCAGACGCAGGTAGAACCTTTTTATTTCCTTAACTAATTATTTGTTGGTAAAATACATCCTAACTTAATTAATTGTATATTATGCTTTTACATTGATTTTTTTTTCTCTTTAAAAAGAATGCTAAGTGTAAAAGTTGCTTGCTTCCTTCTGATTGTTACATCTCAGTCTGATAGGCTTTCATCGTATTATTAGCAATGGCCAGCATGCCACCATAGTTGATCTATATTCTCCCATTGTTTCCTAACCTCATTCTTCCCTTCTGTTTCAGTAACAAATCTTTCTTTGTATTGTCATCCCTAGAGGTCCATTTGTTTAAATGAGTAAACAGATGAAAAACCACGTGAATGCCTTGATTTGAGATGCAGCTGTCAGCCTTTCGTAGCCTTTTTTGGGGCGGGAGCGTTGGGTAGATTGGTAGATGTACTGTCCTTCATAGAAAAGGTTGCTAACTAAACTAGTCATGGAGAGCACACTCCTTTCAGTTTAAGTTCCTATGACCTGTACCTTCTCTGCAGAGGCTAAGTAGTTCTTCCCAGCTTAAGCTTATTTATATTAGAACTGATTTCAAGGCTTCATACTGCCATTCTTAACACAGTTCTTTTCAAATCAAGATGGAGGAAGCTGGATACGTTCCAAGAGATACAGTTATCTCTGGGTTTAGGTAATTAATTATCTGTGTCATTGTGCAATAATAGTTCAGTAATACTTAAGTTGATAACCAAACAGTATCCATGGCCAGCAGAACACATTAAAATTCCCCAAATTTCTCAAAGGCTGAGTGCTACAGTTTTTTTACAGCGCTTATTGTACATTTGAATATTTTCATGACCAGATGGTTCCCTTAATACGCATAGATTTAAATGCAAGGTAGAAGTGTATACCTCAGTGTGAATTTAATTTTTGTTCATGATTGATTTTGTGCAGATTTGGCTCCTTGATAATGCATGCATATTTTATTACTGTAAAGAGACTAGTATGAAATCCATATTCGAAATAGTCAATTACAAAACAATGCTCTTGGCTTTAGTTCTGTTCCCAGTGGTTTTGCAGCATTCTTGCACTATTCACGATACCATTTGATTTTGAAAAGACCATGTCTAAATTAGAGGTATGCTCCCAGCAGCTGCTGTATTACATTTTTTGCTTGATATTAGACCATAACTATTTTTTCATAATGGAAGTAAATGTATTTTGATGTAATGTTAAATATTTATTGAAAGTTTTCTCCGTTGAAAATCTTCGGTCATGTCTCCCCACCCCCATCAACTTTAAATAAGCTATTGTCCCAAGCATCTTGTAAAGTAGCAGAACTTTTTGTGGTTTTTTTGCTATAGCATCTATTGTTACAGTTGCCACAAACAAGATTGATTACTTCAGACATTTAGAAATGCACAAAAAGACAGTGCTCACACTGTAAAATTTTTTTGTCAGAGGTTATAGCCGGGAGGTGAAGTAGACAGTTCAGGTAGAGGCAAGAAATATTTAATATAAAAGACATGTGGCTCTTAACGGTGCTAGCAAACACCACAGCTTGGTAAACATTTAATTTCTGCTGAGGTAAGGAGGTTAGAGCAACTGCCCTTTTGCAGGTGGAAAACTTGGTACATAAACCTTCCAAATACTTCAGAGCAGGAGCACTGCTAGGATGAAAAAACTGTTCCTGTAATGCAGATTCTGTGCCTAACCAATTAAATTAGACCACTGGGAATTAGACACTTACACTGGTGCCAAGTTTGTCACTGACATGGATTAGGACTGACATCAGTGATCATGAAATGCAGTGCTGCTTCTGGCACAAATGTGGCATTATACATGGAAAAGGTTTGCTGTCACTGAGCGAAACTGTTACCTCTGACAGAAGTGTCTCCCTGATAGCTGTGTACAGAGAATGGCAAATGCTGAGAAGGAAGAAAGTTTTTTTGGAAATGAGAGTGTAATTGGACACAGAGGGGGAGAAAGAAAAGGTAACAAAAAGCTTCCTGTCAGCTTCAAGGTCTTTAAAACTATGTCTGAGTTAAAAAAACCCAAAACATAAAAGTAGCTAGGGGTACTTAAAAGTTTTTAATTTAAAAGTTCAATAAATGGTTTATCCCCAAGACAAGACATGGTAGGGTCACTAACTGATTGTAGAAACTCCATGACAATTGGATTTCATCCTGTTTAGGCATGTGAATGACTCAAAGAATGGTGATACCTAATTTTTAGAGCTTTACATCAATAAAGGTTTCTTGGTTCTAGCTTGAGAGTCTTTGTAAACTAAAATTTTGTCCTTTTTTTTACTGACTTTTGTAAAAATTGCTCCTTTTTCTGGTGGGCTATTTTTTTTGTTTTGTTTCAGGTTTTGTCTAAATATTGCAAGTGATAATGAACATGGACAGCCAAAATGAATGTTGACGTAACACAGAAATGTTTAGGGGGTTGTTTTTCCATTTGATTTCTGCAACACTATACACAAAGTACATTTTACACCCAGTCAGTTTTGGCAAGATTGAAAGCAAACAGCATTTGTAGCAAAATGTAAGAGTCTGCACAGGTCCGAAAGATAACGTGTGTCCCAGGAGAGCTGTGGCCCTCTGAAGAGGCCCCTGGGAACAGGACACACCTGGAAGGACACTCTGTCCCTGTCTTTATCAGCAGCATCCTGTTGTGTTTCTTCTGTTGTGCAGGGCTGTGACACTCCCCTGGCTGTGGTGGCTTCCCGAAACTGAGGGCTCTGTTGTGACATCCTGGTACTTGGTCAGAGCAACCACAAAAAAATGTATACATCCTGCAGGCAAATTTACTTATATGCAGTATGGCTTTAACCTATTTATAAGTAAATCTTGGGGAGGAGTCTACAAGCAAGCTTTGATTGAAACTGCTGGAATGGATGATCAAAGCAGAATTATTTTTCATATATTTTAAAATAAATTCTCTGATTTTAAGTCTCCCAATCCAAAACCGTAATTTGATTGAAAAGCCATCAGTTATTTAGACTGCTTAAACAGAGTTGCTTAAATTTTCTTAATTTATTTAAGTAATCTGGGTAGTTTTAAGTAACCTCTGATGTGGTTATTGGAATAAGAACAATAGACAGGTGTTGATTTTGCAGAGGTCAGATTTGTTTGCTTTCTCTACCTTACTAGTCTGAAGAGAGAAATTTTAATTTTTCATAATAATTAAACATAGCTGCAGATCCTAAAAATCTTTCAGTTGTAAACAGAGTCTCGTTACAGAGTTGATTATTCAGGAACAATGAGTTACAGTTACACTGAATGTGGTAATTCATTGATTTTTGTTGGAAATTATGTTATCCAGATTTACTGTTTATAGCAGGATCTTGGTTTTGTTTTCTGAGCCTTTCAATTTCAGTTTTTAAAGTAGTCCAAACCTGGCACAGTCATACTTCTTTTAGCATTTAGTTGTCATGCAGAAGAGTAAAACTTCTGACCTCTTCATGTTGCATGGGTACATCACAGTAACACAGTTCCTGTGCTCGTGCTTTCTGTAGTTACAGAGGTTAGGGGGAGTGTTGAAGGGAGTGTTCACACACTGCTTGCTGGATTTGGGCTTATTGTTCAACTATAACAACTTCATTTAACTGTTGTTTGGGCTACAGGCAGGAAAGTGGAGGTGGTTTTGTGTGTTGTTTTTGTTAGATAAATATGTCATAAATTTGATTAATTAGGTATCACAATAGTACCTTGGAATCTCTGCATTGTTAAATGCACTGTGGGGTCTCTGCATCACAATTCTAAGCTTTCTCTTTCCCTGAGGGTAGGAAACACAGCCAGTCATGATGTGTTTCTCTTGGAAGTAACTTCAGTCAGGTTGCAATGATCACGCAGAGCTCTGTAAACTCTACCTCTGAACTTCAGCATCTGCAGAAGTGGTCTTAACCTAGCAATGAACATATTATTCTTTGGTTGTATACCATTCAGTCTTATTACTTCATAGCATTCATTTCAAGCAGCTCATATTTTAATTTTGCATGGTCCTATTTTTTGATCCTGTTATTTTTTATGATTTAGACTATATTGGGAGTCTTTTACATAAAAACAGAGTATGATGAGCCCTGCAGTTTGAATTTGGGGTGGGGTTTATTTGCTTAATTTCCTTTATCCACTGAGGTGATTATTTTACCAAATTAAATACTCTGTTAGTTTGACATGATTTTTTTTTTTTTGAGAAATCCATGTATTATATTACTTAATAATTTCATTTTCCAACACATTAAAAATTACTTGAGTGGGTATTTGTAATTTATCCAATTGGGGGAAAAAAAGCAAGCAAACAAAAAACCAGATACATTATTGCTTGCCTTGGGACAAAATCTGTCATGTGTAAATTATCCTAAAACAATCACCAGTGTCTCTGATGTTCCTCTGATGTGCCAGTATGTTTTAAGTACTGTGAATGGATTTCATTGACCCCTTTTACAAATAAGTACTCAGATGCTCCTCAATTCCTGTTTCACATAAATTGAGTATTTCAAAACAATTTTTTTAGTGTTTATTGAAAAGCTTGTGTTGCCAAGGGAAAATCTTAAAGATATATAGTCCAGAGGGCTTTGGCTGTGTATTATGATGTTTATTTAATAAAGGTGGTTGAACATGAAGCCACTGGAAGAGTTCTAGTTTTTTTGGTTTTTTTTTTTTAAGTGAAAAAATCTCTTATGTTCTGTTTCTATGAACATAAGTTCATTTCTAACTGCTGAAGAGCAGCAGAAAGTGATGAGAATGTGAGTGTAATAAAGATATTCGTATTCCATAGAACCTGAAAACATAGTATAAAAAATGTAAAATAAACCCAACCAAAAAAAAACCCTAAACAAAACAACTAACAAAAAAAAAACCCACCCCCAAACCAACTGATGGAGTTTCATAGTCAATTTCCAACATTAAATTCTATCTAAACTTAATATCTTTAACTGATTGTGTTCCTTTATTAGGGAAGTTGTTGCTGTTCAAATTGTAGAAACACCAAGTTCACAGTGGTGAAAGTTTTCTGTTACTGTGAGATGAAGAATAGCTAAGAAGTTGAGGCTCCTAAATGTTAAGTTGGTCTCATCCTGTTAAAGTGTATTGTGCTATGTGATGGTATTCTTGGAACATTGATTTATTTTCTGGTGTATAAAATTTTCTATTTTATATGCCCTACTCACTTTGTTCTGGTTTGTTTGTTTGTTTGTTGGGTTTTTTTGTGGGTTTGTTGTTGTTGTGGTTTGGTTTGATTTTTGGGGTTCTTGTTTGTTTGCAGGTTTGTGGGTTGTTTTTGTTTGTTTGTTTGTTTGTTTAGTTGGTTGGTTTTTTGGTTTTGTTGGGTTTTTTAAATTATTTTGCTTTCTTCCACCCCTCTTGTCAGAACCAGGTCTTATCCATGAGGTCCTGGGGGGAATTGCACCTGCTATAATCTTGAGGGTTTTTAGCTTTGTTGTTGATCATATTGATTTTTGTTTATTAAACTGTTTACATTAACTGACAACATGAAGTCTAATATCCATTTTAATAAAATTGTGTTTCCTTTGAGCAGTAAGTGCATAATTACAGCATAACTTGGTGAGAACAGTTGTGCTCTTATTTGGTGCTTTTAATTTGTAAGAAATAGAAATGCTTTCTAAACACTGTGTTAACAAAGTGTAATAGAAGAATAATTTACCTCCCCACTGAAATGGAGCACTGAACATGAGGCAGGAATAAATTTTGTAATTAAAAAAAAAAAAAGGCAAAACGTGAAAAACTCAGACAATCCCAATGTATAAAAAAGTAAAACCTAGATAATAAAAAACTTTATTTCATTTATTTTGATACATTATTTTCTTGAGCTGAAAATAGCTATAGAATGGTAAGGAATAATTCAGAATGAAAATGTGTTTTTCAAGGAAAAAATCATGAGCAGTAAATAGCATATGATAAGAAATATCTGATTATGCTGGTCAATCTGAAATGTGTTATTTCAATGGAAGTACAAAATTAGTCAGTAAAGAGTATGCTGTACTTTATCTTTGCAGAAAGAACAGCATGCTTGCTGTGAAAAGTTTAAAGCACAATTTTCTTGTTAAAGGTTTTTTTTTTATTTTCCTATGCAGATGTTTTTACCAATAGGGCACAACACAAGTAGTGTTGATTTGGATATTGAATTCATTTTTTAGATATTCAAGACTCTGAGTTGCCTGCAGTGTAAGAAAAAGGAAAAAACCATCATTTGATTCTGTAAAAGGGATCTTGTTTCCTTTTTAAGCATGATGGATAAATTTATAGAGGTTTCTAAAATATATACGTGGGTCTGTAGCTTTCCATTCTTAAATACTCTCACTGGCAATTGTTTAGCCCATAAAATCATGTATTTCCGATGGGTCAGTATGGAATTCGAGATAAGACCTGTTGATGTGCTTTCCTGTGCCTCAAGAGCACTGCAATACTAGAGCTTGTGTCTGTTATCAGGCCTAGAAAGTGAGATTTAGGGAAGGCTAGGAAGGCAGAAAATTAGTTGAGAAATAAGGCAGAACTATAGAAAGTTAAAAGATAACTAGGAACCTCAAAGGGACTTAAGATTCTAATTTTTACCTCTGCAGAAATTCAGTGAAGTTTTCCTCAGTGGAGTCCTCTGTTTTTAGGTCTTCTGCTTTTGCAGATGACAGGGTTTCTTGGTTTTGGTGGGAGTTTTGTTTTATTTTTGATGTGTTTACTCAGATGTGTAATTTTAGCTCCTGGTTTAAAACTTGGAGATGAAATATTAAACAGCTTCTGTAAATATTGATAAAAGGAAAGAAGTTATGTATATAAAATAGCTGTATGTTTTTGAAGGATATGAATTCTGGAGAAGAAATTGCTTTGAGACAAAATACCAGGATGAGTTTGAGAGAAACAATCTTTTAAGCAATTACTAGCAGATACCAATATTAACTAGTATTTTCCTAATTTTTACCATGGTGTCTTGAGAGAAGTAGAAGAGAGTGTAGTCTCAGATGTGTATTCAATGTTGAAAGCTGACCAGCTGATTTTACAGAAATTTTAAGTTGCTGGCTTTAATCTCTGAGAATTAAAGTTTTGACATACACCACATTCCTTCTATGAAACAGTTTTTCATCTGTTAGAATTTTTTGGTAATCCTGCTTACAGCTTTAAGTGCTTTATCTCAGTAGCTTATTATCCTAATATGATTAGAACAGGTAACCAACACTAATCCAAATGCAGTAAGTTAGAGGTGTAATTTCTGTTTTTCGTCACCTGTCACCAATCACAAGTTTACAGGCCTTAAGAGGATGGTTTTGTTTTTAGAAAAATATACTGATGGAACTGCAGTTTGAGTCTTTAAATGTTCCTATTTCTAGAGAAGGAAGGTCCGGAGAAAAAGAAAATGAAGAAGGATGCTGGGAATAAGAAATCGGCACCCGTTAGCATTCTTTTTGGTTACCCTCTGTCAGAGCGCAAACAGATGGCACTTCTCATGCAGATGACAGCAAGAGACAACAGCCCAGGTGATCTTACAGAGTTAACAGTTTTCTTCCTCCTGCCTGTTTAATTCTGTCCTAGTCGGAATATTGAGAACATTGATGTTTTTCAGTAATCTTTTATTTTTTTCAAATACTTTAAGTCATTCATACTTCTGTTAAAATTTATTTCACATGGATGATTAATCTGATGAAAAAGTCTTGATCTTCTATATTTATGTGAAAAGCTTTGCACTGTGATAGCTGTAAAAACTGAAAATTTAATTTCTTCCTTTATTTTTGCCTGTCAGACACTGTTCCATATGGATTATTTAAAGCCTGAAATACTTTCTTTTTTTTTATTTTTATTGAAGCTTAACTATTATCTCATTTTCTCACTTTGGAGCAGGATTTTAATTTAGGAGGAAATGGGACTATTTCCTTCTGATTTAATGGGAAAGGGGAGACATCTTGTTCTTAATTCACCATTTCAAACTGTCCTTGGTCCAGCTGCATTTAAAAAAAATCTTTATGTATGTATATGTTCTACAGGTGTAAAGTTTTTACAAAATTGCTATTTAAAAACAAATGGCTGGGTTTCCTTAAGGAACTATCCAGTCCACCCAGCTGTGGAACTTAAGGAAACTATCCAGCTGTCCAGCTGTGTTGGTACAGCTGATGATTTGTATGTAGTACAATACACAGACTGTAATTCTTTAAACTGGCATCCTGCTACATAAAAATATAGTGGAATTTTGCTGGAGGAAGGGGAAGCAGGATAGATACTTATCTGTGTGATCTCACCTTGTCTTGATTCAGGAGAATTTATACCTGAATATGTGAACCTTGTAGTTTGGGTAGACTTCATCCTTCCTAGAAACCTGCTTAAAATAGTAAGGTTTTGCAAAATGCCCGTTTTCATGTTGGAAATCAGCATTGTGCTGACACGTGTGAAGGGTGAAGTGTCTTTCATTTAAATATAAATATTCATTGGTCATTATCATCTTTGAAGGCAAGTGTTGACAATATTTATTTCATCTCAATTTAATTAACTTAACAGTGACCATTTAAAAACTTGTTTTGTAGATTCCACCTTAAATCATTCCTTACAAACAACACCAACACAAAAGAAAACTCCAACCTCTTCTTCAAGACAAAAAGACAAAGTTAACAAGAGAAATGAACGAGGGGAAACTCCTCTACATATGGCAGCAATTCGAGGGGATGTTAAACAGGTCAAGGAGCTAATCAGATTAGGTGCAAATGTAAACGTAAAAGATTTTGCAGGTAAGTTCATATGAGTACTCCTAACTATACATTAAAAGTAACACTGAAGTTGTTAACAGAGGTTTCCTTTCAGTTCATGTTGTATGCAAATGAAAAAGTATAACTTCATGGAAATTGCCAAAGTTGCTTTTTTCATTTCCAGTGGCAGTGGTAGTACTGTGACACTGTGGTACATGGTGTATGATTAGAACAGTGTTTTAATACCGAGAGGTTTCACTTGTGTCCAGGGCCTTGGCGCAGCAGATATTGACAGAAATCTGTGCACACAGATTCTGTGTTCTTGCTGAACTTCATAGGATTGTGCTGGGCAGAGGTAAATAGTGAGACTGTGGGCTATGGGAGGAGATGCAAAGTTCAGTGATGGTGGAGGTGGTGCTGTGATGTGCACTGTCTTTACTGGGACAGCTGATATGCAGCAAGGCAGAGGAGAGTGGTATGGTTGCCATGCTCATTTAGTCCTGCTGGATTAATGACTGCTTTGATATGTCAGTATTTGCTGTGATTTACATAATACATACAGTTGGTGAGCTTTGTTAAGTTGTAACATACACAATATTTTTAGGTTTATGGGTCTGGATTATGTTCTCAGTGGGAATGGTTGAGAGGAGTTGAGGCAGCAGGCCCCCGTGGGAGAAGCTAAGAACTATATAGTACAATTAGTTGTTAGCTCAAACTAGAGAAGATATTAATGAGATGAACTGAAATCTTAACTTTAGGTAAGGAATAGATTGCTAATTTCTTCATTTGAAGAAGGTAGCTGAATTTGTATTTGAACGTGAAGCTGCCCAGGAGTAGCATGTAGAGGAAGAGAAGGTGACAAGCAGAAGTAGAGCACTATGAGATCTTCAAAGAAGTTGAGAGGGGAGATAAGAAGAACTTGTTGACAAGAGCAATTTTAGAAAAGGAGGGGGAGGTTCAGGGGAAGACAGGCCCATAGAAATCACTGGGAGAATAATAGAAACACTTGAAGAAGAGATGTAGTGGGTTGACCTTGGCAGGCTGCCAGACACCCACCCAGCTGCTCTCTCACTTCCCTTCCTCAACAAGGTGTGGGGAGAAAATAAGATAGAAAAAAGCTCTTGTAGGCCATGTTAAAGACCATTTAATAAGAACAGTAAAAGCTGCCTGTGCAAGCAAAGGAGGAAGAGGAATTCATTCACTACTTCCTGTCGTCAGGCAAATATTCAGTCCCTTCCCAGGAAGCAGGGCCTCAGCAGGTGTAACAGATGCTTGGAAAGAAAGACAAATGCCATTATGTACAAACTACCCTCCTTCCCTCTCCTTTCAGTGAGCTTTTATAGCATGACGTCCTGTGGTATGGAATACACATCTGGGTAGCTGTCCTGGCTATGTCCCCTCCCAAACTCTGGTGTAGGAGGAGAGAAAGAGAAAACCATGACACTTCACAAGCCTTGTTCAGCAGTAGCCAAAACACCAGTATGCTGTGCAGCCCCAAATACAATGCACATTACTGTATGAGTTGCTCTGAAGGAAGTTAACTTCACATCTTCATCCCAATCTGACCTAGGGCAGATATTTTATTTTAAAGGAAAGGAATGAAAGGAAAAGCACAATGGCTGAGAACTGGTTCTGAGAATCAGTTGGATTCAAGTTGTTGGAGATTTCGTTCAAAATCTGGAGGAGTTGTTTGGGATCAAGTGAGATATTTTTTTATTGGTGATCTGAAGTGAGAAGCAGAGATGGCTGAACTTCAAAATACTGTGTAGAGGGAGAAATCAAGAAGAGGGGGAGGATTGAAGCAGTGAGTCATGAGTGGAGAAAAGTAGGAATTTAGGATGCAGTGTAGTTTAGAGAATTAGAGGTTTTATAGCAAAGAATTTGGCAGAACTAAAGGAGCAGAAAATGAATTAGTAATGGAGGAAGTAACCCTGCTCATGGGATATCTGCCAGAATGATACTGCTGTGTGAGAACAAGAGTAAAGGAAACAGATACTGACAGCAAGCCAGCACTAGAGTTGGCAGGCTGGACATTGTGAAAGGATGGAAAAGCAAAGCAGTACAACATGGAGAAAAATAAATTATGAAGATAATTAATACAGAGGATAAAAGACAGGGATCAGAGGGCTGAGAGTAGAAGTGTTTCATGTTGGGTGAGTGTGAAAAGGGCAAATGGCAAGAAAATGGAAAGATGGAGGTGGTAGCCAGACAGTGCTGGAAGTGAGTAACCCAAGTGATGATTGAAGAGGAAATTTAGTGTATGAAGAGCAGAAAGAAGTGTTTTGCTTTAGAATAACTTAGAACCTTTTTTCTTTTTTTCCCTTTTTCTTTTTTCCTTTTATTTTTTTAGCTGCTTTTAAAATTTAAATGAGTGGCAGCTTGGAAGTTGAGTGAAGGCTGAAGGTGAGAAATCCCATTACTGAGGGATTAGATAAGTTAGGGGTTTCTTGTACCTCCACTTCATGGATGTACAAGACTGCTACTGATAAGCTCATGTGATTAAACTCTTTTACTGGTTATGCTGGAAACAAAAGTTGAATGCCTCCCCAGAACTGGGCTTTGAGAAGGCATCAACAACAGTTCGGGTCAGCTATGAAGTGGAAGTAATCAAGCTGGGGAGAGGAAATTGAGGTAAGGAATATAGTATGTGTGGGTTGTCATCTTCAATTGACATTCTGCTACAGAAAATGAGCACTGAACTTGAGGAAATCAAAATTGCACAAAATGACTGGTGTTCTGGGAAATACCAGAATAAGTTCTCTGCCATTATTTATTAATGGCTTGTTGTCTAGCTGCTAATGTTGTTAATGATTCCTAGTGGTACATGTTCAGTAACTCTAAAGGAGCACTGGTTATGCCAATTTGCCACCCTTACCATTTCCAATAGTGTGGTTTACAAATGGTTTCCATATATTAGAATATTATTTATATATACACCTACCAGATTTCAAATATTTACTAGTCAAAGAATCTCTGACAAGTTTAGCCTGGGGATTTTGTACCAGATTTTGTCTTCTACTATTTGATGTGTGATTCCAGAATTCAGCTTAATCTCAGAAAAACTTGGAATTTGATGTGAGGATTAAAGTTGATAAAGCGTATGTTGTTTATCAGACGGATGACATTGCCATTTTACCAAGTACTGTGTGTGAGAGTGTTTTGAAATGTTCAGAGGCAATAGAGATCTGTAGCACAGGAATGAAAAACCAAATCTTTGATCTTTGTCTTAAGCCTACCACTCTTCACTCTAGGTTGGACACCACTGCATGAAGCTTGTAATGTTGGTTACTACGATGTTGCTAAAGTACTGATAGCAGCGGGAGCAGATGTGAACACACAGGGCCTGGATGATGATACCCCGCTTCATGATTCTGCTAGCAGTGGACATAGAAACGTGAGTGTTCTGGGAGAGTGGGAGGGGGATTAGTATGTGGTTTGAAATGCTGAAGCTTCAGTACAAATCCTAACTGTCCTCATTGCAGTCATATGGTCTTGTAGTTCAGTTTCTGCTGTTTAGGGAGCATTTTAAAATTGTTCTGAATGTCTTTGTTGTTTCATCTGACTTCTATTGCCAGATATTTCCTACCAGTATCTGTTTTCTCAAATATTTAAAAGTTTCATCTTTACTTTCTCAGTAAATAAGCACTTAAGTGACTTTTTTTGAGAAACTTTTACTGTATAGAATTCTCAAAGAAAAAAAGTCTCCTAAAAGTATACGGTGGATTCATGTATATTATATATACATGTTTATAAATACTTAAAGGTATATATCCTATTTTTGGTTTTAAATATTTTAAATAATGGCATTGAAATAGAGAATTGATGTATATACTTAATATTTTTATGAATTTACCAATCAGCACTTAGTGGAGAAGACAAATGGAGCTCTCTAGGTGCTTTACATTAACTTTCAAATTTGTTCTTGATTTCTTCAAGTAAGATGCAGAAATGACTCTGCTTTTGCTTTATATCTCTTATTTCATTACTATGTATGCAATCTGTTGTATAAAGCAAAAGATAGAATACATCCTTAAATCAAGTACACCTTGCAAAGTAGATGTTCAGTTTGAAAGGCTTTTCTGCAAAAGATAGAGAAATTACGTATGATAATCTGTTGGGAATTTTTTTATTAGCTGTTTAGTAACTGCTTTTTTAGGTATGTAAACAAAGACCTTGGGTCTTTAGATCACGCTTTCATAGAGCTGTAGTAGAGTCTTGGAGAATGAGAGCTCTTGCTTGTCTGGTATCAGTACAGGTACCTGTGGCCATCTCACTGACAATATGTACCAGAATAATTCTGAAGCTTCCTGTTAAGGTATCGCTGTCTGCTGGATTTCTGCATTCTTTTTACACATAGGGGGGAAAAAAAGTAATTGATACTGGACACTATGCTAATGCAGTGGCCTTAGATTTACTGTAATATTAACAAATTGTTGCCTTTGATGATGGAGAAGTTGGTGATTTTGATGTATTGCATGCAGTTGCAGGTGGGGGTGCTTTGTTCCTCCAGTAAGATACTTGGATCTCTCTCAGGGCTTTTTGGAACTGCTGGGGAAACCAATAGTACTGTGACTTGTAAAAGCCTATCTGTTCCCTTATTTAAGTGGAATAAAATTTGGAGCAAGAGGATGAATCTTGCAAGTGCACAAAAAAGCTTATTTAAGTGGAATAAAATTTGGAGCAAGAGGATGAATCAAGTGCAGAGGGGTAAAGAGCCTAGTAGGTGGGGAACCAGATAAATAGTGTGAAGAAATGCTAGAACAGCAGGAACAAAAGGCCCCTGTTTCTTTCTTTTGTAATGATGCTGTGTCTGTGTAACAGAGGGCAGCTGTCTCTAGTCTTCCCCTTCAGCTCCTTTACAGAGCAGACTATGTATGTACTACCTAGACTTTTCATTTTCATTGCTGAAGTCTTGCTTTCCAGTCTCAGTATCATGATAGGATCACATGTCATGTTGCTCACATTTTGTGTGCAATGGGAGATTTTTATGCTGGTCAGGTAACATGTTGTGGATAACCTCAAATTTAATTTATTTAATGCTGCAGATTGTGAAGCTGTTGCTTCGACATGGTGGAAATCCATTTCAAGCTAATAAGCACGGGGAAAGACCTGTTGATGTTGCTGAAACTGAAGAATTGGAAATGCTGTTGAAAAGAGAGGTGCCCATCTCTGATGATGAGAACAGTTGCTCAGGTAAAATTAGCATTTTATTGCATACTTAATGCATCATTTCACCTAAGGTTAAGCGGCCTTAATTTTTTGCATAGTGTTAGCTATTAAGGCTTGCTGCAGGTAACAATTGATATTGCTAAGGTTGCCTTCCACATTTATTTTCAGAGGTAGTTTGTTAAATTTTTCAGCTGAGTTATCTGAATGCATATTCTGATTTTTTTTTCTTTTCTTTCTGTCTTTAGTAAGCCATTCCCACTTTGCAAATCAACTCTATATCAGAATGGTGATTTTACCAGAGAAAGAAAAGAAAATACCATATTTGTTGTAATACAGCATGTTTCTGAGATGGTTTGTTTCATGGTGAGAAACATCCCCAAAGTCACTTACTTCCCCTCTTTAGTAGATTAATCAGGAGTCAGTGTTTCACATGGGTGTAACTTAGTTACTCAGTGGTAGAAAAGTTCCTGCCAGTGGGGGGCCACTGGTTTCTGTGGGTGAAGTTGCTGAAGTAGAGGCAGAAATTCTTGGTCCCTCCTATGTTTCTGCAGATTGAGGAGTAGGTAATACCTCTTGGAGCACAGAAAGAACTGTTGCCTCCTCTTAAGCAAAAGATTCTTGACCATGAGTAACTTGCTTGAGTGCCAGACAGGAACTTTTTATTTGGCTTTCACAGAATATTCAATGATTCAGAATATTTTAGGTAAAAGAATTGAGGTGGATTGAAAACTGGCTGAACATCTAGGCTAGAATGGTGGTGATGAGTGGCACAAAGTTTATTTGGAGGTCAGTACCTGTCTCTGTACCTTGGATCAATACTGTGTCCACTCCTGTTTAACACCTTTATTAATGGTTGGGGTAGAGTATTCCATCAGGAAGTTTCCTAATGACACAGAACTGGAAGTTCTGAGCAGGAGTGGGTGGTGCATCAGAGAGTTGTGCTGCCATCCAGAGGAATCTTACTGTGTAGGAGAAATGGGCTCGCGGGAATCTCATGTATTTTCAGCAAGGGGAAGTGCAAAGTCCTGCAGCTGGCGAGAAACAAACATCCAAGCAGCAGTGCAGGCTGGGTTCTGACCAGCTGGGAAAGTAGCTTTGCAGAAAAGGCCCTGGCTCATGCTGAACAACACCAGCTTGACCATGAGCCAGCAATGTGCCCTTGCTGCAAAGAAGGCCAGTGGTGTCCCAGGCTGCATCAGGAGGAATGTTGCCAGCAGGCTGAGGGAGGTGATCCTCCCCCTCTGCTCAGCACTGGTGAGGCCACAGCTGGAGTGCTGGCTCCAGTTCTGGGCTCCCCAGTAGAGGAAAGACCTTGACACCATGAAAGGAGTCCAGAGAAGGGCCAGGAACATGACAAAGAGTCTGGAAAAGCAAAGACTCAGGGGAATCTTGTTGATGCATAAAAATACCTGAGGAGAGGTTGCAAAGAGGACAGAGCTGGGCTCTTGTCAGTTGTGCGCAGTGACAGGACCAGAAGCAGTGGGCACACAGTGAAACACAGGAAGTTCCCTCTGAACAGCAGGAAACTTTTTTTTTTTCACTGTGAGGATGACCAAGCAGTGGCACAGGTTGTCCAGGGAGGGTGTGGAGTCTCTGTCCTTGGAGATAATTCAAAAGCTTTCTGGGCATGTTCCTGGGCAGCTGGCTCTGGGTGTCCCTGCGTGAGCAGGGTGGGCTGAACGAGATGATGTCCAGAGGTCTCTTCCAACCTCAACCATTCTGTGATTTGTGAAAAACACATGAAGAAGAGCATCATGTCACATGACTGTAACAGTTGGTTTCTCTTTCCCAGACAAATACATAAAACACAACCCCCTAGGAATGTTTCCTAGTCAAACTTCCAGTATACTTCAAGGAAAAAAAGTCATACTGCCCTATGTTCTGATGTAGTGTTCACTTTTTTGGCATTAGAATAACCTGAAATACAGTGTGTGGTCCTTCTGTTCTAATGGACAGTTGTGACATCACAGAATCAGCTTCAGCTTAGCATAAGCGTTGATCTTAAGACAAATATTTTTACATTTGTGTAATAGAAACTTGTTACTGTTTAGCAACTGATTCCTCAACAGTCTGTGCAGGGTATTGTCCTTTAGAAAGAGTCAGGTTATACAGGAATTATGCACAATAGGTGAGGTTTTCAAAATTTAAACTGCATTACTTTTATTAGATATAAATGTTGATTAATATTTTTACATGCCTAAGTGAGAGCTGTAAAGGGAAGGGAGAACTTTGATTTCGTGACCTTTTGTTTCCTCTTAAAAAGCTTAATTCTAGTGAGAAGTTTTGCTGTGCATTTAAGATAGGTTTTATTATTTTTTTCATTTGTAGAGGTGACTGCTAAACTGAACTCTTTTGTCCTGAAGTGTGACAAGTGTCCCATCAGTATTCAATTAGTTTTCACTTTCCTTACTCTAGATTCTGAAGAAGCTCCATCTGTAAATCCTTCCAGTGTAGATGGGAATGTTGATTCAGAAGCAGAAAAGGACTCTGTAGCCAACAACAGCAAACAAACGGTCCCTAATAAGGCACCACTTCCATCTGCTCTAGATGAGTATGAGTTTAAAGATGATGATGAAGATGAAATTAAAAAAATGGTTGATGACAAACATATTCTTAAAAAAGACCCAAGGAAAGAAGATGAGACTGAAGTTGAAAAGACCAGCTTATTTGTGAAACAAGAAAAAGTTGTCTTTTCAAAATCATTCAAAAACAAAAAGCAGAAACCCTCTAGAGTTCTGTATTCAAGTTCTGAAAGTTCAGATGAAGAAATACTTCAGGACAAGAAAATGGTCTCTCCTTGCTCAGTTTCAGAGACAGCAAATTCTGATGTCAGAGTGAAGAAAGAATATATGGTTACAAACGAGCACAAACAAAAGGGTAAAGTTAAAAGGAAAGTAAAAAATCAAAGCAAAAATAAAGAGAATCAAGAAGTAAAGCAAGAAAAAGAAAATGCTAGAGTAACAAATATAGCTACTTCTGGGTTAGATTCTTTAGATAAAGCTAGAGAGGAAGAAACCTTTAAGAAGTCTTTCACCTCAAAAGAAGATTCTTCTTTACATCTGTTTCATATCACTGCTGGAAAATCTCCAAAGCATCCCTGTGGGTTAAGTGAAAAGCAGTCAATGGCATTAAAGCAAGAAAACACCAAAACTTGCTTATCACCAGGAGGTTCTGAAATAACGTTGCAGTCCGAATTAGTTCGGTATGATCACAACACTGATGCTGATTATCTTGTAGAAAGTTCTAGTGGCAAATCTTGCAAGCACAAAGAAAAAAGCAAGCATCATCAAAAGGATTTTCACTTGGAATTAGGTGAAAAATCTAGTCCTAAAATTAAAGAGGAAGATAATAGCTCAACATTTGAGAATTCAGAATATACTTTGAGAAAAATTGACAAGGAAGGTAAAACACTTAAAAAGCATAAATTAAAGCACAAAGAAAGAGAAAAGGAAAAGCACAAAAAGGAACAGGATGGGGAGAGAGAGAAACACAAACATAAAGAAAATGTTAAAGAGCTTCAAAGAAGTATTGAGTTTGACAGAGAATTTTGGAAAGAGAACTTTTTCAAAAGTGATGAAAATGATGATACATTGGTAAATATGGAACATGAATCTTTTTCTTCAGACAGAAAATCAAAGCTAGAAAAATCTGTGGCAAAAGAAGATAAGTTAGTTAGGGAGAGACAGTTCCAGAAAGAGAGAAGTATTAAAGATGATAGGGAAAAAGAGAAGAACAAAAAGGAAAATGAGAAGTTTCTCAAGGATGAAAAAATAAAAGATCTAAAAGAAGAAAAAGAAGTTATGCTTGCAGATAAGGAAATTGAATTGTTCTGTTTTGGTGTTAAAGATGAGGCAGCCAGTGTGCATATAGTAGAAAGAGAAACAGATACTGAAAAGCAGGAAAAGAATTTAAAGGAAAATAAAGAGAAGACCGAAAAGCGATTCTCAATCAAAGAAAAAGATTTTGAAAAGATAGAAAGAAAACATGGAGAAAAAGAGAAAAAGTTAAAGCATGAACACAAAACAGAGAAAGATAAAGCAGAAGTAAATGAAAATGCAGAGAAAGTAAAGGAGAAGTCTGGTTTTCAGCAAGCAGAAAGGTGCCATAAGGAAAATGACAAAGTAAAAAGCGTGGGTGCTCTTAAAAAAGGTGATGACAAGGAAAGAAATAAGGAAAGAACTGATAAGAAGCATGATAAAGAAAAGGCTGATAAAGACAGACATTGGGCTGAAAGCAAAGAAAAACACTGTACTGAAAGAAAAGTCAAACAGTCTGAAAAAGAATCTGAATATACTAAATCAGAAAAAAATAGAACTAAAGAAAAGGAATTTGAAAAAAAAGACAAATCCAAAGACAAGGAGACCTCCTCATCAGCAAGCTCAAAACATATGCAAGAGGAAAGGAGATGCACTATTACTGAAAGTAATAAAACAGTTCATGACAAACTGTCATCTTTGAAAGAAAAACCAAAAGATGATTTGTTGAAAACTCCAGATGGTAGAGAGAAAGATAAAAAAGATAAAGATATAGACAGATACAAAGAGAGGGACAAGCACAAAGATAAACAGCATCAAAGTAGTTTGCTGAAACTAAAACTTGAACATGAGAAACTTAAGCCTAAACCATCTCCTGCATCGAAAGATGCTCGGCCTAAAGAAAAAAGATTAGTCAATGATGATTTAATGCAAACTAGTTTTGAAAGAATGCTTAGCCTTAAAGATCTGGAAATAGAGCAGTGGCATAGAAAGCATAAAGAAAAAATAAAACAGAAAGAGAAGGAACGTTTGAGAAACCGCACTTGTTCAGAACATAACAAAATGAAGGAAAAACCCAAACACTCATTATCTGAAGTAAAAGGCAAAGAACTGATTCGTTCAAAAAGTTCTGAGTTGCCAGATGTTTGTATGAAGGAAAAGCAGCAGAAAGATGCTACAAGTAATAGATCACAGTCACTAGATACAAGAAGTGTCAATGTTGCAAAGGCTTCATTGGTTTTAGAGAATTTAAGTAGATCCCCCAAATCAGAAAGTGAAAAGATGGGGCTGAGCTCCAGGTCAGTGTCCATGGTTTCTGTTGCGAGCTCTGAGGATTCTTGCCATACCACAGTAACTACTCCAAGGCCTGTAATTGAATATGATTCAGACTTCATGCCAGAAGGTTCTGATTCCCAGATGTCTTTTTCACAGTCACCATTTTTGGCAAGTGCCAAATCACCAGCCCTTGTGGAAAAGGAGGCCGATGGTCTTGCTGAGTTGCCAGATCGCATTAAGCCGCCTTTCACGAACAGGCTCCCACAAATGTATGTTAGATCAGCATCTGCTGAAGATGTTAAGTTGGTTTTAAATGAGTGTAGGCCTGTTATAGAGGTTCGAAGATGCAGCATGCCTGCTGCAGTTTCTGAACGCAGCAAACAGCCTCGAACATCAGAAGAAAACAACCAAAATGCTCTGCCATCAGTTCAGACTTACAATAGCACTTCTCCTAAACCAGAGCTACTGTGCAGCGCACTTGAAAGAGATTGTCAAAGCAGTGTGGCTGTTCTGCAGTCAAACTTCACATCATCTCCAAATAGAGCTGTTAGCAGCAAGCAGGCAACAACGGGGACAAGTACCATTAAAGATACTGCTCAGATGAGCCCTTCGGAAGACTCTAACATGCATTTAGAACCAGGTAGTCAAAGTGGTGTGACTCAGCAAACCAAACTGTGGGATGTGCCTTTTGACAGACTTAATTCATTAAACAATGATTTTAGCAGCTCAGGTTGTGGTGTACCAGAGCAAGATGCTAAAAGCATTATAACAGTGCATAATTCTGAGAGCAGGACGTTAAAAGAGCAACAAGTATCTGAATTTTTGCCTCAGCACCCTGAAATTAAGGGAAGTTCCAGTTCTCAAGAATCTGCATCATTTTTGCCTTCACAGTCGCCTTGTTCTTTACCTATCCAGCCAGTTCCACTTGTGTCAAAACATGTTTCTTTACCAGGCATTATCAGTCAAGATTCATCATTAGTACAGCAGCAAAATCTAGTTCTGACTGCAACTTCTGCTTTGGAAACAGATGCTGCCAATACCAGAGAGCTAGAAAATGCTTTCTTCCCTTCAAACATTAGGAAAACTGATGCACCCATGGTTGTATATTCTGAGAGCTCTGCAAAAGATGTTTCACAGAGCTATGAAAAGGTGAATGATTTACCACTGATACCATTAGAGGAGGATACTCCTGAAAGTGATAGCAGTTCACAGTTAAACGTGAATTCATACTCATTCAATAAAGTTGTTTGTAAGAATGCCCTGAGTGAAGTGGATGGTTACACAACAGATACTTCAGATATTAGAAATGAAAAAGACCAACAAGAAAAATTGGTCTCTGTGCATGTTGTTGATAGTAAAGCCAATGCTGATCTCTGTGAACTAAGTTCAGGAATGTCAAAGGGAATTACAAATGAATTGGTTAATAAAAGCCCCTGCCCTGCAGACAGAGAAACTGTGTTGGCGGATGATCCACCACAGTACTCTTCTATATCTAATTTGGAAAATAGTTCACAACAGATTACCCAGGAAGAGGTGCATAAATACAGCCAAATAGTTAAAGTAGAAGAAGTTGCTGAGGATCAGAAGATGGAACAGCATGAAGTACCTCAAAGAATTACAAGGAACAGAGCAAATTTGCTTGCTAACCAGGGCAAGCAGAATCCTCTTGGCTGTACACAAACATCAGAAAAAGAGTCTGAATCATCAGCATCTATGAAAGCAAGAATTAGATTAACTGAAGATGATGATGCTCAGGTACATCATCCACGTAAAAGGAAGGTGTCACGCGTGCCTCAGCCTGTGCAAGCAAACCCTTCTTTGCTGCAGGCCAAGGAGAAAACCCAGCAGTCACTGGCAGCTATTGTTGATTCTTTGAAACTTGAGGAGATTCAGCCATACAGTTCTGAGAGAGCAAACCCCTACTTTGAATACTTGCACATAAGGAAGAAAATAGAAGAGAAGCGTAAATTGCTGTGCAGTGTTATTCCTCAGGCACCTCAATATTACGATGAATATGTCACCTTCAATGGCTCCTACCTGCTGGATGGCAATCCCCTGAGCAAGATATGCATCCCAACTGTAAGTAACATGGTATTTCAGTATGCAGTGCAATGAAAGGCATATTTTGGTTTTATTTTTTTACCTTCCATATTCTTCCTAACTTGCTTTTGAATATTCTGCTGGCAGCAATAAGTTGACATATGTCAAACTAATATTGATTAGTAGCATCATATTTAAAAGCCCCATTCACTGGAAATACAAACAGTGGTTTCGCAGTCACTGTAAGACAAACCATGTATGACACCTGTCAAGGACACACAGACAAACACTCTATTTCAAAGTATGTAAAGCTTACTCTTTCAGAAGTGAAGTAAATTATTGAGAGCTTCTCTGAATTTCTGCTGTCAATAATTTTGTTAAAACTAATTAGTCAAAGCTGTTTCATTTGGAGGGGAGTGGACATGCAGTGCTTCAAAATACCAAATCTGTTGCCAGATGTTTTAAGCAGGAGAGTGCCTGCCAGCTATCTCAAAAGCAGCAGATGTAATCTGCTGTGTCCTGGCTTTTGTAATCCATCAATCTAAAGTGTTCATAATTTTATTAAATAATGTCAAGGTCTTTTTTCTTTTTACTGAAGAACATCTGTAATTCAGAGATACTTATTTAGGTCTGAGCTCTCAATTTTTGAATGGACAAGTTATGTCAGCTCATCTAAGATAACTCACCTTTACATGAGAGTAAAAAGCTTTAGCTTTTTCCAGTGGAGTTGAGGATTTTTTTGATGAAGCAATGGACAGAGGTTTAATGTGTAAATTTTAAAATGTTTGCTTCATTATGCAGCTAGTCTTAATTCTCTGCACAAGCTGTTGTTCTCATTTTTGGGAATGACTAGGCCAGTTACAGTCTGAGGAAAGATGTGGGTAAGATGACCCTTTTGCAAGGTCTGTAGGTGAACCAGGGTGTATGGTATATGAGCTTCACCATGATGTACCAGGCTGTCAGCCTTTCCAAGTCTACAAGTCTTTCTCAGTAGCTGTTGCAGCTTCTGTAACATCTTTATCACAGATAAAGAGGCACAGATTTCATTTTTTTTCAAAGCTGCCACTAGTCAAGTACATACTGTTTCCAAGCTACAGCTTGCTGCTTTGGCATCACACTTCAGTGCTTAATTTGGGATAAGTGGAAAGTCGAGAAGCATGGAATATATTTTTCCCTGGCTCATCTACTGTCTGAGCAATAGAATTCAATTCCCAATCATAAATGGCAACGTGTGTGTAGACACCATAAGGAGGACAGAGTTTGTGACTTGATATTAAAGCACTGACTTATAGTTACTTCCTGTGTCTATTGCTGTGTATAATAGGAACTCCGCAGTTAATGAAAATAAATTTAGGTGTTAGAGAGCAAAATCTCGGGTAACAGGTTCAGAAAATACCAGAGATGGATGTGTACTTCCTATTCTCAATGGCTTTTAATTAATTGTTGAAAAGAAAAGCCTATTTTAAAAATGTTGATAAAAATATAAGTATGTAATGGAAGGATTACAGTTACTGATTTTTGTCTCATTTAGATTTCTGGTTTGCTTCCTTACGTGTACATGTTCTGATGGTAATGATGTTTTAAACAGTTAATTGTTTTGTACATACTTTGATGGTCCTGGTAATATTCTACAGATGTAGAGAGAACAGGTGGAACTTTTTATTTCAAGTTCCTAGAAACAAAAAGGAGGAAGATAAATTTCGAGAAGCCAAAATAAATTATTAGGAAATTGGTGATTATTTTCATTAGAATTAAAGTGTAAGAAAAAGCATGAGTTTTGCTCTAAATAAGAAGATACTCTAAGCAATTCGGTTTTGTTTGTGTGAAAAATCTCAAATGCAACTAAATGCTTTATTTAATTACTGTCACTTGTGTAAATTGACAATCTTGATAAAACTTCTCAGGTTTCCTTTCAGAAAAAAAACGTTATTTAAACAATTAGTAATATTTCAGATTTAACTTCTTGCCAGAATTTGCTTGTGTACACAATCTAATGGTTTTATTTTGTCACCATTGAAAATCACAGTCGTAATAATTCCTGTTACAAATACATAAAAAGGAGGATTGCTAAACCAAGGATCATTTCATTCTCAGAAATGAGTGCTTGTTTCTTGTACACATTGTCCAACAAAGTGAAAATAAAGACTAGGTGTAGTCTCTCTGAAGTGGTGAAATATTAATAATACGTTGTTACACCTATAATGCAGAATTTAATAAGCAACTGTAAAATTACCTTTTTGTCGTGTTTGTTTTGCCGTTTTTTCCTTCAGTTCTCTAATGATACACTGTTAACCAAATTTTTGCCTCATCAATTTACATAGAGAGAAAGTAGATACTCTTTAATTATTCCTGTGTTACAGATATCCTTTGTGTAGGTCTGTGTGGAGACAGTATATTTAGTCTGACACTCTGAAACTCGGAATGGTTGGTGTGTGGAACAGTGTGTTTACTGTTCTCTGCATTGGAATTTTAATGATGCACTGTAGTTTATCTGATGAACTTCAAACATGCTATAGGTGGGAACCAGGAGATGGTGTGCTGAAACCTTGTTTCCACAGCCTTGTTTATGTATTGTAATTTACAGCCTGGATCACCTAAGGCTGTGAGGACATTCGTGTATGAATTATGGCTTCCCTCTCACCAGTACAAATACAAAACATAAGGTAGGAGACATCAGGTCAGTTCAAAATAGGAGGAAACAAATCTGAATCTTCTAACAAAGAAATTTCAATTGTACTTGGCTCTGTTGCCTTTCAGGTTGTTCCAAGTTCTGCAGGGTTCAGTCATCTTTATCTGTATTGTCTCCTGAGAGGAGGTGCCAGGATGATTCACTGCCAGCCTCCAATGGCTATCAGCAGATGTGTTTCTAGTAAAGGGGATTCTGTCCGGTCTCCCTGGCATTGCTGTAGAAACTCAAGTAGTAAGATCTAATTTTAGGAGTATTACCAGAAACTTGTTTTCAAAATGCACTAAATAGAACATTAGAGTAGGCCCGTTGTTTGGGTGACATAGAAGAGGGGAGGTTTGTAGCAGGCACAAATGGGGATTGAAGGTTTATAGAGTGAAGAGTTGATGCTGTGGTTGTAGTTGTTTTGGTGCATGCAAGGCCTGCAGGAAAGTTGCTGATGGATTTTGATGTGTTGCAGATGGGAAGGGCATGCCTTGAACGTGAGCTCTGACCAATGAAACCTACTCTAATGGCTGGCTCCAAGTGAGGTGGAGCAGAGGCACAAGGCCAAGTTCTGTCTGGCTTTTCTGGGTGAATTCTCAGACTGGGAACAGGGAATTCTCTGGGCCCCTTTGTTTCCCCTCTCTTCTGTATGAAGCCTGGGCCCTTAAGAAAATAGTTCAGTGTTTTGGTTATGCAAAAAACAGAGGACCTTTTTTTTGTGTTCAGGCTCATGCTCTGTTCTTGCAAGTCCAACTTACATGTTTTTATTTTCCATACACAGTTTTTTGTGTTCTCTTTAGTAATGGTGTCTTTGACCAGGAGGTCCAAGAGTCTCCTCTAGCTGTTCCTGCCTCAGACCCTCTAAGTCAGACTTTTTGGTCTCAAAGAAACCAATTTCCTTTGTCTGAATCCAGTGCTGGTTCACAAGCTGGGCTTTCCAGCAGGTGGTGTGCGACTGCCCGAATCCTGTGTTCAGACTCCTGAGGATCTGAGGCTCACTCTTCCCAAGTTTCCAAGAAGAGAGGAAAAAAACAGAATTCCATAAATGACTGTAAACAAACCTAGTATTTAGCTGTACATTTTGGCAGGTGGTGCTGGGCTGGGCGGGAGTGAAGAGTTTATGAACTCTTTTCCAGTGGCAGTAGGGATCTCTGGGGTCATGGAGACCTGTCAGTGTCACACAAGTCTGAACATAATCTGTGTTCAGGGCTGAACATAATCTGCTGAAACAGAGTTCTCCATGTTTAGATAGAAGTCCACACAGCTCTGCTGTCTAGGTGATCAGCTACTTGTCAGGTTATTTCTGTGGTGTTGATTTTGATTTCTGTTGCACAATTAAACTGTCTGTAAACTTAAGGGAATAACATTTTAAAATATTTGAAATGGAGTAACATTACAAGAGTGAATGGGTTCAAACTGAGAGAGGGCAGGTTTAGATTAGGTAGTAGGAAAAAATTCTTCACTGTGAGAGTGGTGAGACACTGGAGCAGGTTGCCAAGAGAAGCTGTGGATGCCTCATCCCTGGAAGTCTTCAGTACCAGATTGGATGAGGCCTTGAGTAACCTGGTCTAGTGGGTGGCATCCCTACACATGGCAGGGGGCTTGGAACTCGATGACCCCTGCGGTTCCTTCCTACCCAGACCATTGTGTGATTCTGTGAAATTGTTCAAGTGATGTGGATGCTTGCCAGCTCTGAAATTTTTATTTCTGGAAAATCCAGGTGTGTAAACCCAAAGCTTATTTAGATACTCTGTCTTGCTTCTTATCTGTGCTTTTCTGTAAGCAAAATAATGGAGATTTTGGGAGATGTTTTGGGTTTATTAAAATTAAAGCTTGATAGTGTTTACAAGCATCTTGTCATATTTTATTGAAAGATGTGACAGCACTATTGTATTCTACCATGAATGCAAAGTCTTCAGGAAAAACTAGGCTATAGGGGGTGTATTTGTTTTTAATACTGATGTTTTACACAAAATGGCATATGCCATAAACATTACTGGTTTGAGAGCCAAACTGTTTCACTAAGAAAAATGGAGTGTATCTTGTTCTGTAGTTTGAAATGTGAAGGAGTTGAATGTCGTTTTGTACAATATAATAATTTAAGGAATGAACTGCAATCAGTTATTTGGATTATGTGCTATAATTCCAGAGACATTGGCTAGCTTCCCCTTGGGAAAAAAATTGTCCTGAAATAATTTTCCAATATAATACTAATTCAAGCATTTCTGGTAGATAAATCACTTCATTACTGGAATGTATAGGTGCAAGATTGATACTAATAATCTGGTTTAACCTACAGTGTGTCTGTATTCCATAATAGGTTTATTACTTCTTAACAGTTGAAAGATGTATTTTATTGAAAAGAGCTTTATCTTTCTGCTTGTGTTAGGTATGAGGTAGGGTATAGTAACTGCAGGTACTTACTTGAGTTGTGGTTTTTGGGTATCAGTGGTAGTAGGCAGTGTTTCATGTAGTTTGAATGGGTCTTTCCAGAGCAGTATCAGTGCTCTTGCATCTGTCAGGTGTTAAAACCCATGCTGAACTGTCAGACAGAGCTGACATAAGGGAAAATAAACTTTGGGTGGATTCTTAACACTCCCAAGATGTTTATTAGTTACTTCTCAAACGGCGTCTGATTTCTGCAGTTGCCAAGAGTGCTCCAGGTGCCTTGTCAGTGTTTTTCACACAGCTCAGACCAGACAGTAATTCTGGCTGTTTACTATAATTGGCTGAAGATGCAAAATGCTTATAAGTATAGCAAATCAGTAACAGCGTTGATATGTCACTCAAGTCTATTTGATTTTTTTGAATTATTTTCTTTCTAACGAATAAGTTTTTCTAAAAACTTATTTGAATAACTGACAGGAAGAAAAACTTCTTCAAGCTGCTGTCTGGGTCACTAGTCTACTTTTTGTGCTTTCTTGTGTTCTGTGTGATTGCAAAATTAGGAGTATGTTCGGTTATCTTTTGTGCAGTATAAAATGCTGTTGCTGTTGTACAAATATATCAAGTGGTTTGGGGTTTTTCTAGCAATACTTTTCTTTTTTTTTACTTTTTTCTTGCATTTTGCTAGGCAGTTTTTATCTTCTCAAAATGAACAGCTGTGCTTTAAAGGATCTTCAAAACAGGAAGCAAGTTGTATTCTTACTATATTCTACAATATAGCCTTTTAAAAAAAAGCAGCTATGGAATGCTGATAATGACTGGTTAAAAACTCTAAACAGCTTGAAACACTGTTTTCACTTGGATTTATTAATTTTATTATATGGAATCCTTAAAACCTTTTACTGTAAACACTGCAAACACATTGAATTCACATAATTAACGGAAAGTAAAAAGTAAAATTATTTTTCTTAAAAAACGCCTCACTTATTGTTTCTTGGGGGTTTTTTTTGATAGATTGCATAAGCAATGGTAAACATGTTAAATACACATTCACTATATTATTTATAAAACTTTTTCCACAGATTACACCACCTCCATCACTGTCGGACCCACTTAAGGAACTGTTTAAACAGCAGGAGGTTGTAAGGATGAAACTACGTTTACAGCACAGTATTGAAAGGGTGAGACTAATTTATTTTTGATGTCCTGGACTTAAGCTTTAGGATTTTTTGCCTTTTCAATGAACAGACTACATTTTTCTTAATTTAACAGAGTTTAGAAGTAATCTTCTTTCTATCCAAATTAATGAATTGGAGAAACTTCGAAGCAGGGTGGGGAAATGGTTTGAGCAGCTGTTTGCAGAACCCTCAAGTTGATAAGACAACAGCTTTTTCCTGTTAATTGCTCTGAGTTGTGTCCCAGATTTATCCTAGAGGCAGAAGCTTCACACTGTAGTTTTGAAAGCTAATGATGATTGTAGACTTCAGAACCAAATTGACTAAGTTAAAAGAATGGAAGATATAGTGAATTCTGTATTGAGAGGAGACACGTGTGGCTCTAAGACTGAAACACATTTGGCAATATTCTGCTCAGAAACTGCTCAGAAAATTATAATAGAGCTGCGCCTGTAGGCATCACTGATTTTGAACACAGAAATAGAGAAATTATTACTGGTTTAGGAGTATTCTTTAGTTTTAGGTTGCCCTTTTTCCTTGGTAACCTAGCTTTAGATGCCAGTGTTGTGAGCCAGATAGCTTGTGGGCACAGGCAGGGCCCCTTTCTGACATGGATGTACCATAAGGATTTCCACATAGTTGTACAAGGAGCTGCCAAATCCAGTGTGATACTTTTTTCAATTGGCAATTTCAATGTGACTTAACAAACCCAGCTGAGGGAGGGGTTTTACTTGAATTTAGTATTTCAGTGAAGAGTATAAAATAAGCAAAGAAATTGTAAACATGGTTCAAGTTCCGAGTGAAAAGAAATCAGTTGCAACTAAAAATATTGTGGCCAGCAGGGTGAAGGAGGAGATTCTGTCCCCCTACTCTGCTCTGGTGAGACCACCCCCACCCCCAAGTGCTGCATCCAGCCCTGGGGTCCCCAGAAGAAGGAGGACATGGACCTGTTGGAGTGAGTCCAGAGCAGGGCCAGGAAACTGATGAGAGGGCTGGAGCACCTCTCCTTTGGAGAACAGACTGAGAAAGCTGGAGCTGTTCAGCCTGGAGAAGAGAATGCTCCAGGGAGACTTCATTGGGGTTGTTCAGTATTTAAAGGGGCTTATAAAAAAGAGGGAGAGTGACTTTTAACACAGGCAAATAGTGATAAGACAAGGGGAGGTACAGTTGTAAACCAAAAGAAGAGAAATTTATATTAGACATTAAGAAGAAATTCTGTATTGTGAGGTGTCAAGGCACTGGAACAGCTTGCTCAGAGCTGTGGATGCCACATCCCTGGCAGTGTTCAATGCCAAGGCTGTGTGGAGCCCTGAGCAAACTGGTCTAGAGGAGTTCTTGCCCACAGCTGGGGTTTGTAGATAGATAATCTTTAAGGTCCATTCCAGCACAGACTCTATGATTCTAACCAAAGGAAAGGTGGTCCTTTTGTCTGAAAAACAGGAAATACATTATAATATTATAATGTGCCTTCTTTTATTTTGATAAAAATTAGAGTCATTTTATTGTACAGCAGTAAACACATACAAACATTCTTCTGTGCCTTAAAAAATTGTGCATATTTCTAGTTATTTTGTTCATATAGGCTGTTCTTCAAATGAAATCCACTTTATACAATTGTAAGTCAAATTTTGTCAAGTGAGTTGTATTTTTCTTGTCTCAGTTTAGGAAAGAATATTTATGCAGATGTGAATTTAGGGAGTTACTGCATGTTGTTTTTAAAAGAATTATCCTGCAAATAATGTATTTCAGCTTCAGTTTGTTTGGCCACTGTGCCTGGAGTAAAAGGCTTCATACAGTTAACATTCACAAATCTGTATCCCAACCCTATGCTCCTCCTACCTTTAATCTTTCACCACCCTCATTAACCAGGACTTGGCTCAGTAAGTGGAAACATTCAGCCATCAGTGGAGGCTGGGGCTAAGGAGAAGGTGCTTTCAGTTCTGACGTCCATGGGACGCTCTTTGCATCATCAAATTGAAATTTCGTATTTGAATAGAAGAAGAGCCTCTCCTACCTTCAGCAGCTCATTTCTCACAGTGTTCAAAAGTGTAAGCCCTGAAATGTTTAAATTAGTGAACATTTTTATGAATGTTTAACTTACTAAATGTGTATCTGTATGTTGATGTCTTAATTAGGAAAAGCTTATTGTGTCTAATGAGCAAGAGGTTTTACGTGTTCACTACCGAGCAGCCAGGACCTTGGCTAATCAAACTCTGCCCTTCAGTGCCTGCACTGTGCTGCTGGATGCTGAGGTGTACAACGTGCCTCTGGATGCTCAGGTAAAGATCTGTCCTTCACAGCTTCAGACCAAAAGGGTCTTGCTAGCCTGGCTCAAGCATTCAGAGAGAATTATGTTCCCGTAGCAAAGTTGTCATTGATTTGCCTGGAATTAAGATTATGCCTGCTCTAAATTGTTACTTATATTGGGCCTCATTTGGGTAATAGGAGGATATGTGGTTTTTCTGGTTTGTACCATGTCTGGTTTGCTTTCACCCCAGGAATTATGAGATGGATAAAATAAGAAAATTTGTCTGCTGATTTTGTTACAAAAAACAGATTTCAGTCATAAACAGAACATGTTTTTGAAGCTTACAAATACAGCTTAAACAAGAGCAAAGAAATTATCAGCGTAGAAGATGACATCTATCAGTAATCCAGATAATTTGAATGCAGTAGTGTGTGAAGAAGAGATGAAATTGGTTTATGAAATCTGGAGATATTTTGTGGACATATCCACATTATGCTTTCCTCCTCTGTACAAGGCAGTCACTAGAACTGTACATAAAAAACAGATGACCAACAGTGAAATGTTAAATGGTACCAGATAAAATAACTTTTTTCAAAATTACTTCAGGCTCCATATGACTTTCTTGTGCCCTGTTATTTACATGTTCAATGTGAGTATTTAGTCCTGATTAAAACATATAAAATAAGAAATGTGCTTCACAATCTCTGTATGTTGTATGGACTGTCACTCAAAAGTTGGCTGCAGCTGTATCTCTAAGAGAAAATAATCTCATGGTGTTGGTATTTTGTAGACAGTTTTTCCAACTAACAATCACAGCACCAGCATTTGACACCTGTTAGTGGCTGTGAGAAGCACATAATGCAAGGAGGAAATGTTGATGTTCTGGGTGTAATAAAAGTGTTGATGCATTGGATGTTGGGCATTTTAAAATGAAGCACATTTCCAACATTACTTTCATTCTGCAGCCCTTTATAGAATTATTGCAGCTTCCAGTGTTTCTTCAGTCAGTTACTACTTTTTTCACCAGTTTTTGAAGAACTAGACCTATGCCCAACGAGGTGATTCAGCAGGAGATAGCAGTTTTTGGAGACTGTATTGTTGTCTCATTTTAAGCTTCATGCAGATAAATTTTTAAAGCATCGTTTCCTTAGTACTTGTAACTGATGGGGCAAAAATTTTTCTCTTCCAAAATTCGGAATATCCTTTTCTTTATTTCTGCTCCAGTTCATAGGCCTTGACCTTTTCAGAGATGAGGAGTACATGAGTTGTGCACAAAACTGCATTTTTTAGTTAACATTTTGCAATTCGTTTTAAGCAAACTGATTCCATATTTGAATGTTGTGAAACAAAAGGAATCTTTGTTGGGGGAGAAGTTGAGGTGTTGTGTGTGCCCCCCAAGTATTGCCATTTTTTTGTCCATCTATATAATAAGAGCAGTAATAAAATGCCTCTCCTTCCCCCTCACTACTTCAACAGCTTTGTGTTTCAGTCTGTGGCAATTTTTCTTAGGAAATTACATTGCATATAATGTTCAGCAAATTATGAAATAAATTTTTTATGTCATTGAAATCAATGTTTTATACTACCACCTTGATGGTTTGATTAAAATTTGCTTAATGGGAAGAATGTAGATGCATAAGAAAACATTGTCTTGTAATGCATCTGCCATTTTCCTGTTACCTCATTAGCAAATATTAATTTTGTTCTCTAGAAAGGTCAATCTTTGCACATTTGGTTGGGCTTCTTTTTGTTCCTTCTGCTACAGTGTACAAATTCCTGCAGTGTCTTTTTTCTCTGAAAGAGGAACAGTAGCTTCTTGTATTTAGTGGTTATCATTTAAATGTTAGATTTGCATAGTCTGGCTTTAGGACTATGCACAGATTATATCTAGTTTTTCACAGTGGGCAGATGTGACATTCCAAATCCTTTTGAAAAAGTTGGAATTTAAAAAAAACCTACTCCATTAAGCAGGACGTAATATAGGTCTGCTCAATTTTTTAATCTCCTTTTGGGGATTCTGATGGCAGAAATATTTTTAATGGCTTTCAATGCTTGTGTAGTCAATTAAATGAGGCTGCTTAATTTTTCCTTTATTAATGTTTTTGCTTTTCCCTGAGGGATATTGATTTAATTTGTTACTGAATTTTAAAGAGGAAAAAAGAGAGACAGTAATTTTGTGGAAGGATCTTTTATTAGTTAAGACTTGAAGGTGTAACTCCTTAAGCCTCCCCTTCTAAATTTCAAAACCAGAGCAGAGTAAATAACTTGAGGAAATCTGAAAATACCCATTTTTAGTGAGCAGTTGGCTCACAGTGGAAGTGTTGGTCAACATTTATGCTTTCATATACCTTTGTGCTTTGAATCTGTTTTTCCATGGAAAGCAGTGTGTTTGTGGGATTGTTTACTGTTTTATGTCCCACAGAGTAGGTTTTGTGTTTTAAAGTTTCAGATTGAATCATCAAGTTTGAATAAATTTTTGTTTTTTGCAGACTGATGACAGCAAAACATCGGTGAGGGATCGATTTAATGCAAGACAGTTCATGTCATGGCTGCAGGACGTTGATGATAAATTTGACAAATTAAAGGTACACTTCTTGGTTTTTCCACTTAAAAAAAAAAAAAAAGAAAAAAACAAAATTAATGTCAGCATGAAGATGAGATGAATAAAGAGCAGATTTGTGTGCAGAATCATGGGCTTCTGTGGAGGCAACACAAAGGAAGGTATATCAGTATAGAAAAAACCTAACTTTTGTTCCATGTAGTGTAATGGAATATTCTGAAGATTTCTAAATACATACTGGGGGAATTATTTACTATCACCAGAGAGGCTCTTAGAGATATTTCCTGTGTTCAAACTTGTTGCAATAGTATTTTTTTTCAAATACTTCAATAACTTCTTTCTCGATTTTAAACCAGACGTGCCTTTTGATGAGGCAGCAGCACGAAGCAGCAGCGCTGAACGCAGTGCAGAGACTGGAGTGGCAGCTGAAACTGCAAGAGCTTGATCCTGCTACGTACAAGTCTATCAGCATTTATGAAATTCAGGAGTTTTATGTTCCTCTTGTTGATGTGAATGATGACTTTGAATTGACACCCATATGACAGCCAGCACCGTCTGGCTCGCCCCTCCCCGTGGACAGCTAGAGACTGAGGTGCAGTGATGCACAAAGGTATTTTTTCTTTTGAGACAGAGCACTTAATTCTGTGGAATACGACCTTTCTCCATAATTCGGGTGTTCCTGCAGAGAAGTGTGGCACAGACACTTGTTCAAACACAGAAGATGGAAGCTGATTTTAAATTCAGACTCCCAGTAACTGCTGTTATCTGTGTTTTAAAATTGCCTGTAGCTTTAGGGCTTATTGCTGAAAAATATGACAAAACCTGGTGAGTTTACAGCGCTGGAAGCTGTTAATAACTAAAACATCCACCAAAAAGCAAATGATACTTAAAATCTGCTATAAAGCTTTGTATTATGATACTTCAGTAACAGTTGAACTCCCACAGAAAAATGATGAGAAAACCTGTGGAAGAAAGTGTAAGACTTGGAGGAAAAAAATCAATCTTATTACATTTTGTAAATTACTGTACAGATTTCTTTTTGAAAAAAGATGTAATATTGTCTTCATTTATAAATAATTTATTTTATACATATTGTGCAAATGTAAATAGTCTTGTAATTAATGTTCAAACCTGTATAAAATAGATATTTTAACTGTAAAACTGTTTTTGTCTAATGTTTTATTGGACCAAAGTTGTCGTTTCTCTTAAGTGTAGTGTGTTCCTGGTTGGCAGTTCCTTTTTGTATGGCATGCGTTCCATTTAGCTGCTTGTTCCATCACATAACTGTAAGAGGATTGAACGGTATTGCATGCTCCACAGGACTCTGAACTCCTTCCCTTCAATAACTGATACCTAAACTGTTGTAATATTTACAGAATCATACTTCCTATTAGTCTGCTGTTGTAATGCCATACCTATGACTTCCTATACTGAAAATATTTTTGTGTAAAACAAAAAAACCCTTTTGCTCTTATATGGTGGTCTCGTAATAGAGCCTATTTTTTCCAACAAAATGCCTTTGAATTAAAATTCTTAAATTGTATATTGTCTATTTTAATATTAATCTATGGAAGGGATATGTAAATAGTTGTAAATATAATACTTAATAAATTTTATTGGTCATGTTATTAGTTGGAATTTCTTAGTATTGGAACACTTGATACATCAAACCTTAGCATTCCTGCAATATATAAGGAGACTCAATGGAAAAGTTAAAAAAAAATTCTCCATGTTGTGAAATTTAATGCTTTTTTATTCTTAGTACTGTTAATGAGCAGACAGTTAATTATTTATTAGTAGGAGGTTACAGATATTCATGAAAAAGATTTGTTACCCTCCAGGCCGTAAATTATTCAAGAATGTTTGAGATCTGATGTCTGTGAAATTATTTCTGAAGGAAATGAGGCTTGGGCAGGACAGCTGGTTACTCAGAGTAAGAGATATAAAATCCTTGGTTTTGAACTGATTTTTAATGACTGGGTGAGCTACCACAGAGAATTTATATTCCTTGTGTTTGTGTGAATGTCCAGGGGGCATTTCCTAGGGCAGAGGGCAAACGGGCAGTGAACAAGAGACTCTGTGGGCAGCAGTCTCCTTCCATCTGCACATCACTGCTAGTGCCAGTTTAGAATAGATAGTAACTCAAACACAGTGAAGCAAATTAATATGTAGTTCCTGCCCTGTAACTTTTCTTTTTTCACTTTTAATTTAATACCTGTGGAAGGAGAAGTTGTTCCTGCTTTTATTACAGGAATATCTTCCTGACCTCATTCAAAATTGAAACTATTGAGGAAAAAGCAAATTTCTTCTCAAAGTTAAATACCCTTCTGAACACAGCTGTAAAATCTC